TTGATTTAAATCATACGAACTTTAAAGAAATAGGTAGTATTTTTAAGAGAGGAAGGCAAATTTTGTTCAATTGCACAGCTAAATCGCGCAAGTTATTTGTGTTTTACGTTGCAAGGAAAAAATTAAAAAACTTTTTTAGTACTCGATTTCGATTGATTATTCTTTATATCATTGATTAAGAAACTCAACGCTTACATGCTTATACCTATACTATATAGCTACGTTAGTGTGTGTAACATACTGTGTATTTTATTTAAGGAATCAAGGTAAATTATTGTGTTTTTAATTGTAAATTCAAGAACTAAATCGTTGCATTTTCATATTTTGCCAAAGGATCCAATTTGGTAAGTACATTTTTTGGTGCAGAATTAACTAATGATAACTTTACCTAATATAATTTATATTGAAGTTTGGACTTTTTTAAGAAATAAATAAAAAATAATTTTTGCACAAACATAACCCTAAAATCAACCATTTTTATATTTGAGTTCTCTAAAAAACGCCGACAACTGCATTTTAAAGAACAAAATATACCTACAAATTCATGGCAACATAATATTATATATAATACATAATATAATGGTATTTTACCGTTGAGTGGAGACTTCCTTAATCAACGCTTTTAATAATGCTAAATGCTGTTTAAATTTAGACGACTTCTTTGTTTGACGATTTTTACTGAATTGAAATATTTACACTTTTCACGTTAATCATTACTAAAATTGTATCTAATAGATACAATTTATATTTACAGGGAATGTATAAAATTTATTTCTTCATTCGGATTAATACTGTTTATTGGAAAACCGGTAAAAACTCAACCCAGGATTTCCTCTCGAAATACACCCAACAACACAACAAATCGTGCCACGGTTTTTTTCCGGTATTTTTTAACATTTTCCAGCTTTATTCTCTAAAACACTCGTTTGTAACATAAGCGTTTGACAGCTGATTATTAAAAGTTGTACTTTTGTTACGATGATAACAGCCGAGTGGTGGCGCTAATAGCGATACTTCTTAAGCGTATAAGAATGTTTGGTAAAAATTAATAAATATTGGTAACCTCAAATTTGACGTTAATGTCAAAAGTCGCAAATACAAAAAATGTTTCTTTATTATGGTTTCCATGGTAACTAAGTGAGCGACAAAGTAACTTTAGTACGCTCGTTCTTTGGAAAAGTAGTACTTTACGCTTTCTTTTGGAAGCGCAAATTTGTACTTTTCGCTTGGTTGTAGAAAAAAACGTTTATGTAGGTACAATTTTGCAAGTCAATTAATACATTTTTCGACTTTTTGCCTGGTTTTCGGGCAAATCCGTCTCTGTGGGTCACGTGACAAACACTGAAAGAAATATATACTAAAGTTAAATAAAAAAATAATTAGGGCAAATATATTTTATGTTTCATATATGGACTACCACATACATTGCTAAAACAAATATATTCGTTTGGTTAGCAGCCTATTGCTGCCCTAGCAATATAAATGGTATTTCTAGCAATATTTTTTTGCTGTAATTCACTTATAGTTTACATTTTATAGTAAGGGTAAGTTTATTTTTATTTAGATCTAACATATCTTCTTTACAATAAATGTATTACAAAATTTAACATACATTCATAATAAACAGTAGTATAAATGTGTAAAGCACTAGTATAAAATTTTTAGTATACATTTGTATTTACTTTAAGCAACAAATTTCTTTCAGTGAAGTAAATCAAATAGGAATGCTCATTTTTTCCATTTTAAGTCAAATTATTACAAAAAATAATCGAAAAATATATTTTTAGGGGGTAGGGAAGTTCGATAATTCGTCACATGAACCTTCGAGGGTTCTTTACATTCTCTTTACGTCGTCTTCTGTTACGTACTATTGCGGCCGATAAAAAGTAATCGACTAATTTTCCCGTTGTAAATATGGTTGTCACCAGTGGCATTTCAAAAATATTTTTATAAAATTAAGTAACGTCATCTTAAATTAAGTAAAGTCATTATTTAATTATGCCTTACCATACTTTAAGTGAAGCAGAGAAAGGCTATATTATCGCCAAAATTGGAGAAGGATGGTCTCAACAACAAATAGCAGATGAAATAAACTGCAGCAAAAGCGCTATTCAAAAATTAAACAAAAAGTGGGTGGAAACTGGTGACTTGAGTAGGGTAATGGGTTCTGGGCGTCCAAGAAAGACAACTCCAGTAAACGACAACGAGTTTGTTGAATATGTGAGGCAAAACCCATTTTCTAACTCCATTCAAGCCAAAAAGGAAACCAACTTTCCAGCATCTGTTAGGACGGCAAGAAAACGGTTGTGAGAACAAAGTTTATTTAACTGCGTGAGTGCTAAAAAGCCTCGCTTGACGGATGTTAATAAAGAGGCAAGAGTGGAGTTTGCAAATAATTTTTTAAATCAAAACGCTGAATATTGGGAGCGAGTAGTCTTTTCAGATGAAAAAATATTTTAATCCTGCTACAATGGGCAACTGCGAGTTTATCGTCCCAGAAACCATAAGTTTGATGAAGAATACCTCCACAAAACTGACAACAGCGGAAGATTTCTGTCCACATGTGGGCGTGGATATCATCTTCAGGGGCTGGTATAGTTCATATTGTAGAAGGCCGATTAACTGGGAACCGATACGTGGAAATTTTAAACGATGTAATGCTCCCGTCAGTGTAAGAAAGATTTGATAATGATTTTGTGTTTTAACACGTAACACTTTATGATTTATCTTTCCTGATCAAAAAAATATTTTTTTTTTCATTTTAAGGATAACTAGCCAGTTCACACTGCTCATGTGGTTCATAATTGGCTAGAAGAAAATCACATTACAACGCTTCCTTGGCCGTCAAGAAGCCCCGATTTAAACCCAATCGAAAATATTTGGGGATATCTCGTAAAAAAAAATATATAAATATGAATTTAGACCAAGAAATAGAGAAGACCGTATTAATGCAATTTAAAAGGAGTGGAACAATTTGGAAGAAAATTACGATATGGAAAATTTAATTAGTTCCATGCCTAGGAGATTACAAAATGTTATAGAGAAGAATGGTGGTTCTACCAAGTATTAATTATTTTTTTTAAATGGAGTTTTTATAACATTACAAATGTGTAAGATAATGCCCGAGGGAGGGCTGAATGAAAAAATTGCCAGGGTCGGTTTTTCTGAGTCCATCCAACCCTGGTTGGCTCATCCTTTATAATTGTTATAGTCGTAGTATACTATTTCTTTTTAAGTTTATATTTATTTATTTTGGTCGCCCAATAAATAATTTGTTCTTTTTGTTTGTATTACGAATAAACATGGTTTATATAATTTAAGTTTTTTTTATTAAAAAATTAAATATGTCATACACCTATGATTTCTTGTCAAAATAATTTAATTGACATGACTGACGTAAAAAACCCTACTTACAATAGCCAATTTTTAAGAAAAACATGCAACTTGATAAAGAATCGATTACTTTTTATCGGCCGCAATAGTACGTGGAAGGGGGTCAATTTTGACCGTTATGGGATTCATGGACGGCCCCAAAGCAAAAGAACAGTTAACTGACATTTTAAAACAAAATGAGTTCTGAACTAATGTTTTTGAAAAATAAACATAGCTTTTTTATTACAGCGACACGAAGAACTGAAAGACCCACTTAATTTAAAATATTCTTATGTTGTTCAGGCTTTATTTATAATTTTAATGGTAGCAGTAGCAGTAAAAGGTAATAAGTAAGAGGTAGCGGTATAGTTCAGAAAGAAGTGGCAGCAGAACTGGCAGCTCATGCATATTGCCATTTTGTTAGTAATATTTGAGATCAAAGCTTACATTTTCAGGGATTATTTATTTATATTGAGTCAATATCTTCAAAAAATTGCTTTGAAACGATCTTCCTTCAAATTTACTAAGTAGCAAGTATTTGAAGCTTAATAATTCAATATCTTCAAAAAGTTGCTTTGAAGCGATCTTCCTTCAAATTTACTAAGTAGCAAGTATTTGAAGCTTAATAACTTTTTACCCGTTAGGATTACGAAAAAACTACTTCAGGACTTTTTTGTAGAAAATTAAATTTTCTACAAGAATCATTGATGAAAAATAAAACAAAAAAAATTTCCCCGTTTTACCGGATTAAAAGGAAAAAAAAATTTTTCCGTGTTATTTAAATGGGAAAATAAAAATTCATTGAGCTTAGTGGAGAATTGAGATATTAAGCTGCGCTTTGGAGGGAATTTTTTTATACCTAAAAGAAGGTTTTGAGATGATAAGCGAAACAAATTTTTTTTTGGACCACTCTAATGGATTGGGAGCTTGGCTCATAAATAGGGATACGATTAAACTTAAGTAATAAATAAAGGAATATCCATCTTTTAACCTCATACAGCACTGCCAAACATCACAGATTGTAAAGAGACATACACTACCAACTTAAAAAGCATTGGTACCATTATAACTCTACCATGTGATTAGCTGAAGTTGCGGTAGCAGTAAGAATATTCAAAGCTGATCTGGGCTACCGCTACCTTCCACCTCTACCGGTACCTTTAAAACTATAAGATTAATCCTACTTTATAAATACGTCATAGTTGCAGATTTTGTAGTTCATTGCTCTTTTTCCTGGCAAATGCTTTGAAAATAAGGCACTTTAGAAAAATAATAAACCCTATGCAGTTTACGCTTTCAAGGGACAGGAAAACGCTTTAGTTAGAGTCAAATTTTATCACTGGTTAACTTTTGCCTTAAAAAGTATTAAATTTAGTTTGTGGATGCTGTTTTAAGAAAAACAGGTTATTTGTTAATTTGTTTTTTAATAGTTACAATTAAAATTTACATTTACTTAGTTTCAACTTTTAAATTTACCACATTTTTAATTACAATGCAGTTAACGGTTCTTTTAATTTCTATTTTTACTACCATTAAAATTCTGATGTTCAAATTAAAACAACCATTGAGTTTTAATGGTAGAATTTTCTAAAATTTACTAACTATAAAACTTCAATAACATTTTTTAGTGTGGCTTCAAGCTCGTATTGGTCAGTAGGAATAGAACTCGCTATGGAATTGACATTCCCAAGCGAAGAAAGCACCACAGCTGGAATTTTGGTGGCTGTCACCCAAGTATTAGGCGTTATTTTTGCCACAGGATTAGGATACTTAAATATTTATATAGGACCTTTTTGGTCCCTCGGAAGTCAGTCAGTTCTTTTGTTTATAGGAACAATTATTACTATGTTTATTCCAAATGATTTACGACGACAAGCTGTTTTCGCGGAAAACCAAAAGCAAATGTTTACTCCTGTACCTATAGGAGATTAAAAGTTATTTATTGATAGTGTTTAGAATTTTATAACTGATTTGCTAAAAATAGTACAACTTGTTATTAAAAAACTAGCATTTTATTACTTTCAATTTTTCGGGATATTTAGTGTTTAAAATAAAGCGAATAGGGACAAATGATTATTATTGTAAAATGTAAAGTTCAAAATAATTCTTATTAATAAATAAAACAAAATTTACATTTAAACAACACCATTTTATTTTAATAAATAGTATATATAAGAAAAAAATATTTTTGAATTGAAAAACCCCAACCAATTGGAGTCAAACGTTAAATCCTATAAATGATCCCGGTCCCTCATTAAAAGTACATTATCACTTATTATGGGGTTGTAAAATGTGCTAAAACAGGCGCCTACACCATTATCCGTAATTAAAATTCATTTATATAGGACTTCAGCAAACTTATTCAATATTATTTTTATCGATTTTAGTATTAATATACACAAAGTTAGCTTTAGATTTATTAAGGGATTAAGGTCTCTTGGTTTTAACCCAATTATAAAATACGTTGTAGATTATGAAAATTTTATATTAATGATTTGAACATTTTTAAACGCGAATCAAATGAATAAAGAATTGTGCAATCATATTTTAAAAATTAAAATTTAAAATATTATTTTTACAGTTACTGCAAATAAATTATTATTATTATTATTATTAAGTGGGTATACCAACGCTATTGGATCTTAAATATTTCCAATGTTCAATTCACCTTTCGGTCTTTAACAAGTTAGTTTGAAAATTATTGAAGCGTACAAATTGTGATAAAATCCAAGAGAGTTTAGGAAGTTGTTAAGTGTGCACAGTACATTTGCCTGAGAAGAGCCAAGGTGAATATGCATGGATGCTTTTCAAAACATACATACCTGCTTAAGCCCTTGTTGTGGGTACTTAAAATTTACCCCAGGATTTTTATATAGTATAGTTCAGCACCTTACATTTGGACCAAACTGTGTGTAGGTTAAAAGTAATGTATTTAAGAAAATTAGATTTTACATGAATAAATCGAAAGAAGGCAATTTGCGTTTTGCCTTAGTGTATATACAATGTATATTATACATACAAATTTGCTTTACTTTTTACTAACTAATCTAAAATATAATAGTAAGTAATATTAAAATTTAAAACAATATGTTAACATTCCTTTATTGAAACGAAGAATTTCTTGGTTAGTAAAATAACCCTAATTAAGTGCACCGAGAGAAACATTATTACCAAAGCTGCATTTTTGAGTATTTGACTAACAATCGGCCACGTTATTAATAACAAACGATTAGCTACAACACATTTGGTCATTTTTACTAAATGTTTGCTAAACAAATAATAGAAATATTCCCCAACATTTGGTGTTGGGGAATATTTATATTATTTGTTTAAAATATCATCAAAGTTGTCCTTTTTCAAGTAAATGTTTGCTGTTAAAATTAGTTTATTTTTGGCTATAGATTAAAACCAAACAAATCACTGCTCTGCTAATAAAGAAATTATTTATTTACAAGAATCAAAATTGAAGTTATATTTTAGTATAAATACAAACCAAATCAGATTTTTTATTACCAAATCGGGCAAATTAATGTTTAAATTTTTAGGTGTCTTCTTACTTAATAAAATGGATATGTCTCCGACTGATGTTGCCAGAGCTATTAATTTAATCCAGGATGGACGGTCACAGTATTACGTGACAAGTGTTTTAAACGTCATAAGAAGTAAAGTACAAAGGGCAACATCAGTCGGAGACATTTTTAAAAGTAAGAAGACACCTCAAAATTAACACATTAATTTACAAAAAACAATTTGATAGCTTTTGAAAGCTGTATATATACTATATATATATGACATGTCCAAGTATGGGATGATTCAACAAAACTGTCACTGTCATTCTCCATAGCCTATGGATGGACCATAGCAACCTTAGTTCTTCATACAGAAAAATATTGGAAATTGCAATGTTTTTTAAAAAAATCCATATTTTCCACAAAAATAAATATATCGAGGTGTACCAAAAACAAAACTGTTAAGAATAGATGTGACTTGATAAATAAAACTTAATTTAGAACAATATACGGTTTTGCCACTCTACAGAATGTCTTAAACTTATGGTGAAAACATCTTTTTGTTTAAACCTGTATATTATAAACGTACGTCTATTTTTAAGTATTTTTTTTAAAATTCTTTAATATTCGTTTAAATCCGACATCAAATAAAAAAGTTATTTGCAATTAAAATTCATCGAAAATTTGTGTGGATCGAATATTTTGCACGTGAGTGTATAGTCCGGTCAAATTAGACCAAAAAATAACAGTGAAGGTACATAAATTTACAACAGGCTGAAAATCAGTAAAATTGTTCAGAATATAATTATAAATAAAATTTTAAAGTTCCCCATCATTCCCCTGTATGGAAAATTTTTTATTCAAGGTCAAAGGTCAAAAAAATTAGTTTTTCGCGATTTTCAGCAAAACGGGAAGTTTTATCACAAAAATATTTCCGACAAAAATTGTAGATCATAAAATTGTCTATAAAAAATATATCGATACTGTTTTTCCTAAGAGCCACCGTTTCTGAGATATAACGATTCGAAAAGTTGTAAAAGTTGTAATCGTCATAATATACATGAGTACGTCACGTATATACATCTCTAGAGTTTTAATATATGTTAATATATTTTTCTATCGGTCATTTTCACTTACACTTAAAATATAAAATATAACTACATAAGTTATAACTATAAGAATATCAAGTGAACATCTGTGACAGATGACAGATGATCTGTCATCTGTCAACTTGACATCTGTCACCTGTCATCTGTCATCTGTCACCTGTCATTTGACCCTGTCAAATGCCACCTGTCATTTGCCACCTTATCGATTTGATTTCGGGGATTTTAATTGGTTAACTTTTTTAAATACACAACAAAAATTAAACGGGCTTCTGGCCGATTAGTTTTCATTCGATGAAGCTCATCTTTTAGTATGTCAAACTTTGGTCTTTTACCCGTCGATTCGTGTATTTCGTTCGGCCAATTTCGAAAATTTCTCTCGCCCTAAAAAACGTTTAAATTTTTTTCGAAAAAAAAAAAAAGATCGAAAATTTTTCCGGTGTTGAAAAGGCCCAAGTCCACTTTTTTTTCGATTTTTCCGTCAAATTTGGCACGTTCCGTTGTCTTCGCTTAACTTTCGAATGAGCGGAGATCTTTCGGCCAAACTCGAGGAAAAGGTGCTTCGGGACAATCACCAACGGCATTCGATTTCTTCTTTCTATATACGGAGCTCCTAAAAAAACTACCTGCTTTGATAAGTATCGATATGCATGTTTCGTTAAAAATACTAAAATAAAAAACAAGTTCAATTAGCTTGTCTTCCTCCAACCTCAGTTGCTGCTCATCAAAATATTTTTCGGGTATATTACCAAGTTCAAGTGTGGCTTGGTTATCAGCTAGACCCTACAGACTGGGGTTGGAAGTTGGTCAACAACCCATTAGAACCAGTTCAAACTTTACTCCAACCTGCGCCGGAAAAAATGCTGAACACAATTTTTTGCAACTGCAAAAAGGGATGCAGTGCTAAATGTGGTTGCAAAAAAGTCGGACTGTTTTATTCTCTGGTATGTACGAATTGTCAAGGCCGGTCGTGCTCTAATGTTGAATCACCAACAGTGGAGGATTCATTTAATTCCAACGAGGTGACATGCGATACATCGCTACTGACGCAATTTACTTGTACCCAGAATGAAGATGAAGAAGAAGAAGAACAAGAACAAGTAGAAGAATAAGAAGAAGAATTTAAATTTTACGAATCAGACTAATTAACTTCAGTACTTTTTTTTAATTTACATCGCTTTTATCTTTTCCAATCATTGCTAATTTCCGTTATTTTGCAATAGTTTCAAATTAAACAGGATCACAACTGACCCGTGGAATAGGCTACTAGGGAAACCACGTTAAAAAACGCGCCAAGTACACTACCTAATAGGTGGCGTGGAAACGTGTGCATATTATGACGATTATAACTTTTACAACTTTTCGAATCGTTATATCTCAGAAACGGTGGCTCGTAGAAAAAAAAGTATTGATACATTTTTTATAGATAATTTTATGATCTACAATATTTGTCTGGGGTATTTTATGATAAAATTTACCGTTTTTCCGAAAATCGCGAAAAATCATTTTTTTGACCTTTGACCTTGAATAAAAATTTTTCCATACAGGGGAATTATGGGGAACTTTAAAATTTTATTTATAATTATATTCTGAACAATTTTACTGATTTTCAGCTTGTTGTAAATTTATGTACCTTTGAATGTCTAGATTGACCGGACTAGTATAAAATTTCATTTCAAAAAGAATATTTTAAACTGGAGCATAACGGTTTCATTGGGAATAATTTTGAACAACTTAACATAAGAATAAGAAAACGTTCAAATGAAAAGAAAACTTATTCTTGAACTGACTCAACAATTTCGGGCAAACATTTTCAGCGAAAAAATGTATTTGTTCAGATAGAATATAATTTTTATTTTGAATAGTTATATGGTTTTTTTAAAAATTCTCAATTTTTAAATTAAGAAAATATATTTGATTCAAGAGTATGTTTGTTTTGCATAAACCCACGCATGCGCTAAGGTACCATCTCCTTCGTCTTGACCAGGGGGTTCTTCCACCCTGGTCTTGACTCAGCATAGCGCGTCCTTCTTTACGGTATACCGGTACAAGTTCTCGGTGTAATAATTATTAATGGTGGTCAAATATATAATAATATATTTTGTTGTCGTTTGTTTAATTGGAGATAACTTGCGTCTCCATTCAGTGTTAGGTTGCCAAGAATATTTTTCTGCAATTTTTTTTGCAGGTTTTGCACTGCACCCAAGATAAAAAGACAAGTTACAGAAAAAGCATCCCAGTGAAGGGAGAAAGTCTTTCTCCCAGGGGTGTAGATACCGCGGTATCAGCCTTATCAGTGATACGGGTCCCCCGGCTAGGGGGGCCTCTGATTGCCTTCGACATGTGTAAGCAAAGAATATATTACCCAGATGTTAAAAAATTGAGGGATGAAATTAACTAAATAAATAAAAAAATAATATTATTTAATTGTTTATACTTCGATTTATTCCAT